TAAACACATTTTCTATCTCGCAGTTGATTTACATGTCTAATAATTAGCATATTTTCGACCATTACTTCATATAATACTGTACCACATCGATTTTTATAAACCCAAATATCCATTTTGGCTGGCCAGGCCGGAAATCACGTGCATAGACTGAGTCACCTGCTTTGAATTCTCGAATTCTTGGGTAGTTCGCTTTCTTGTTTTTTCGTAGTCCACTCATACTGTCTTTCGGGTTCAAAACATTAAAAAATGTTCTAATTGGTCGGCCAAACATTATTTCGGCTGATGATTTCCCGTCTTGACAGTTTGGACTCAGTGTAATTAAAAATTGTTGCAGAGCCTCTTCTAAATTGCCTTCTCCTCCCATATTTAAGAGAGCTCGTTTAAGAATATCAACAAATTTCTCTGCCTGCTCGTTTGACTGAGGGTGATACGGAGGAGTTCTAGTGTGTTCGATTCCATTTTGTTTACAGAACTTCGTAAACGTCTCACGACGTGAACTGCGTTCCGTTATCTGAAACCAAAATACTATGTGTCCTAAACCTACCAAATAGCTGTCTGAGATGTAACAGTGTTTCAGTCGTAGACAGTTTTCGCACGACATAAATTTCAGGCCGTTTTGAGTGTGAATCTACCACTTCAAAAAATCTGTCCATAATAGACGTGTAGTCGGACCCAAGGCTTTTCCGCTCCTGGCCATGGCTAGGATTCGACTTTCGGTGGATCTTTTGCACCTTCGGCATATTAACAACATCACAATACGTGTTCTTACACAGCCTTATCCATGAATGACCAATAGACATAACTACGCATAACTGCTTTCATTTTGTCTATTCCCTGATGACCAATGTGAAACTGTCTAAGCACAACAAACTGAAGAGATTTAGGGATAACAACACGATCGCCATACATCAAACAATTACCATAAATCGATATAGACTCATGTATCAGGAAAAACTGGTGAAACTCTCAATCAGCCTTATCCTCTTTCCAACCCCTTAAAACAGCTCCTTTTATTATTTTGAGTAGATAATCACTAGCCGTGGCCTCCTCAATCGCTTCCACCGTTACTGTTAGGGTTCTCATAGCATCACAGAACACTATTTTTATTTCCGGTTCAAGCGATATAGAAGAAACCACGCAATTTTTCTCCAACTTGCGGTTACGTGGTATTTCTTCTGACTTCTGCGTCTTATTTCCCTTACGGAACTTGTGCTGGCAGTCAGCAACTTTCGGCCTACTTTTACAATATACTTGAGCATGATCATATTTACCACATTGAAAGCACATTCGTCCTTTAAAGTAACAGACAATTACAGAACGAGATTTACCACATCGCCAAAAAAACATTTTGGTTTTCATTTGATTCGGGATTTGCTGGGAGATCAGATCTTTATTTCCATTAAAAGATTTTCGCGGAGCTTTAACTCTTACATGTTCACTGTCCCTTTCTACGAGATTTGTGTCATGCTTCAGACTAACCATTCTTTGAACTCTTTAGATACTGATTGCAGACTGATATTATGATCTTGTTCGATTCTCGTTAGAATCCTTGTTCTGATATCTGCATCTGCTGAATATTTTAACCCACAGACAAAAGTAAGGTCTTTGAACTGATCTGACTTAAAAATGATCTCTTGATCACTCCGAAGATGAACTACGATACCCATGTTCATCTTGTAAGTGAACATTATCATCACCAGTACTTGCACATGATATCCTTGCTGCATTATAGTCCAAACCAACTCTCCCCTTTGCAACACCAAAATCTATATTGTAACTATTATCACCACGTTTAACAAGTACATCATATCTGGTGTTAACCATATTAGCTTGTTCGTTTATAAACACGTTAGGATCGATAAGTAGAGGTTCTCAACCTCCTTTAGTAGTATTGTATTATAAGGTACAATGTTGTTTTATAAGGTACCTTTAGACATTCTTGTTGAGCGTGCGTTGTTAATTTAAGAACCATAGTCTCAATAGTTCTGGAAGATATTAAATCGGACTCGTAATTCTTCTGTTCGAGAGATGGATCGCATGCTTTCACTGCCAACTAGAGATGGTAATTCTCCATACATGCCTTGTGAATTTTTAGTTATTGAAACTGGACCGTCAATACTGTGTTTGGAAAATTTGAAAAGGCCTAAAGTGGGGTTGTCTTAATTTAGATATTCGATGGCCGAGTGTGCTAAGTGAAGTGAACGGATGAGAATTCTGCCCACCAAACGTCATGTACAGGGAGATCCAATCTTCCTGAGTAATTTCTTATTGTACTTGTACTATTCGTAGGTCTTGCTGTTAACCATCGGTTATTGTTATACATCTTGATGTAGTTTGCCAAAATACCTGCATACTGAATCGATCTCCATCGCTAGAGCGCGAGGTTGTCTTTTTCAAACATATAAAGTTTTTCGACATCCAGTACAAAACTTTAGGAGCTGTAATGCCTTTACAAAATGAGGGAGTTAATAAATACTTTGGCCATAATGTTTTGTCATTATTAGGATATTTGTGACCAAATCTTAACCAAGCAGTCCAAGTTGCTTCATCAGCTTCCTCTTACAGTCGACTTCCATAGTAGTGTCGGTTTGGTCAACTTACCAGACAAAAACATGTCCGTTCGATTTATGCGGCCTAGAGAAGTACTACTAATTCAATTAATGTTTGACTTTCAATCGATAACAACCGGCGCCTAGTCAGTGTTCGGTTATACTCCATAGACATCATATACTTTGCTAGCTTGCTATCTTATCTCGCAGCATTCACCCTCCCACACAAATTATCGCTCATGATTTGTTGGACTTGTCCTCTATGCCAAGATCACAGCTTATAAGTAAGAAACTGAAACGCGAATATGTGAGGATGTTCCGTGGGAGGGCTATTCAACACTGCGTTGTTGGGATACGATTTTCTCATACTCTGTCCGGCCATCAGGTGTTTACTCACCTTCCTCTTGAGTAGCTACTAGGTCAAAGGTAATTGAAGTCAATAAAGCCTAAAGACTTGCCCCGCTTTTTGAGTGAAATAATCAGAGACAAAACGAAATGTGTAATTACCTGATAAATATTCGGTTCCACATAAGCGTTCGGCTTCCAGAACGAACTGATAACCTGGAAGGATAGAGACATGGCGTAAACGTCTTGGTTACTTTTTCAAGAAAAAAATATTTGTGAACCTGCCAGAAATTGGTTTCTTAACCAAACTCAATCAAATACATAACCCTGAAACAGTGACGACCGCTTTTATGGCCAGGTTCGTAAGCGCGGATTTACACAAAGTGTCCGTCGGTCAGGAAAATGAAAACGTAAGGTTAGGAAAAAAGCATGTGGAATTGCAGGGAAACAGAAGCTCAGAGTGGAATATATTGTACACTCACCAGAAAAGAAACACAAGTATTACACTATAAGGTACCTCTGTCTCTTATCCTGGAAGACCAAATTTCGTTTCTAGTAAAATCTTAACATGAATCACATCCGTCTGTAAATGCTGTTCGATTACACCGATGAGACTCCCAAGGAACAGAGGGCTCCCAAATTCTGTCTATCAAGTCTGGACCCTGGAAGAGGAAACTTGATATACCCTTAGGGTCTCAGAAAGCTATTTCATGCTAATCTTTTAGTAGTTGTTTTGTCTTTGTTCATTTTATACACATAAACTAAAGCTGATAAATTGATACTAGACACAGAAGCTCCTTGGAAGTAAGTTTCGTCTGTAGATCACTAACCTCAGATCTAGTAAGACACCAGAACCCGATGAGTTACATCCATGATTATCGTCATCTCTAACGGACACTATTTCAGGATCACTCTCGATGCTGTTTAACATATCTCCCTCTACACCCAACTTCCTAGGGATTGGAAAGATATCATAGTTACCCCGATACAACAATATGGGAATAGACAGATCGTCTTTAACTACCAACATCACATTTAGATTATCTGAAAAAATTATTCGGGCTAAGTTACTAGGCCACCTAGAACCATACATTCTGCTAACTGCTGAGCAACACGACTTTCGGAATAAGCATTCAACGTAGCCAATTTATTAATTGTGAGAGAGGATTGGACAACCTAAGATAATGGTTTAGCTCCTGATGTGATATCTACGGGTTTTTGAAAAGCATATGATAAGGTTTTTCACCTAGGACTTATTCGAAAGCTTTCGCGTTTTAGGTTAACTAGTGTACAAAAATGGTTAAGAAACTTCTGTGACCGAAGATCGAGGGTGAAGGCAAACGGGACACTGTTTGAATGGAAGCCAGTCAGAAGTGACGTACCACAAAGCACCATATTAGGTCCTCTATTTCTTCTTCTCTGCATCGATGAAATATCATGACTGCCTAAGTCGTCGATATGACTGTTTTCAGATGATGTCAAGATCTGGAGAACAATAAGTAGTGAGGTTAATTATTTTGATCTGCAATCTGACCTAAACGAACTAGTTAGATCGTCACAATATGGAGCCCTAGAAATTAATTCTATGCACATTAGGAACAACAATGGTTGCCATTATACTATCAACGGTAAATAGCCTCCTTGAGTTCAGGAATACAAAGACATGGAGGTAACAGTAAATCACGACTCAAATATAGCTGCTCAATGAGACGCAACAGCCTACATAGGTTTTCACGCGTTATGGTTACTTCACTGGGGATTCAGGTGCCTTGAAAGGAAGATGGTTCGGATTTTATATCCCACCTACATAAGATCACACCTAGGGTACTGTGCCCAAGCAGGCAGTCCATATCTTATTAAGGATACTAAAATACTCGAGCACGTTCAGAGTGTGCTAACAAAGTTAGTGAAGGGTTTTTCCAAACTCCCTTACGTTAAGCCCTCAAAATGCCTCAACCTTTCCCCCTAATCTTATCGTAGAACTCGAGGTTATATCATATTGGTATTCTGTATCTCTAATACTTATTTAGGTTTTAATCTGTCTTATCTTTTTGCTCCCTCCAAAACTGGTCATCTCCGAGGCCACTGAAAGAAAGTTCAAAAACCGTGACCTCATAAACTAAGGGTGGGATTTCTTTTTCTGCAAGGATTAACATAGGCCCGCCAGCCTACTATCCTTATCATTGGAGACTGAAGATTCCATCCACAACCATTCGAACTTCAATTGTAGGTGATCTAAAGTGGTAGCTGCATCTTCACAGAAATCTTTATTGTATGAGTTGAAAAAGATCAAATGACTCACTGTTTGTAGCAATTAAGGCAAGGATTAGCCAGGAAGCATAAGGAAACCAGATACTCTGTACTTACATGTCCAAGGGATATTGAATATGGGATTTTAACTTTGATATTCGAGAAGCGAACTAAATAAAGTAGGCGAAACACTTAACGGAAACTCATGGCCTACCCATCTGACAGTCAGCTTCTGACCAAAATAGAGAGTAAGATTCTGGAAGTTATTTCTAGATAACGGGACTAAGAAATTCTACAGGATGCTGATCTCTCCCAAGTGACGTCGAAAAAAGTAAGGTCGGCACTAGAGGCTCATTTCAACATTGATTTGTCCACCGAAAAATCCAAGTTAGAGACTATGATAATGTCCACATTGGAGAAACTACAGTCTTCAAAGACCCAGAATAGGAATAACAGCAAACGCAGCAGCAGTCCTGTGCGTCTTGGTCCTTAAATAATATTTGGTATTTATCTGTAGGAGGTAGATGAATGTACAGAATCTGACTCGAGCTCTGATAGTGAACCTGAAAAGCCAGTAAAAAAGAAGAAAAAGAAGACTTCGGATGATGAAGATTATGCCCGGAGTTTGCATGCCGAAGCTAATGGTATGAGACGAAGAAGCAGTTCCAGTAAGTGAAATTTATTTCCTTTGGACTAATATTTAGGCACCAAACCAAGATCTCAAAAGCAGCCCGGGAGCGGAAAGACGGGTTTTACACGTCCTTTAACATTATCTGACGAGATGGCTGAGTACATTGGTGAGAAAGAACTGTCCCGTTCTGATTTAGTGAAAAAATTCTGGGAAATTGCTAGGGAACAAGATTTATTCGTAAGTAATTACTTTCCCAATTGTATAATTGGCTAGGACCCAAACAACAAGCAGTTTGTTGTGTGTAATGAAGATTGGCAAAGATTGTTCAACCTAAAACGTTTTCGTATGTTTGGAGTTGCAAAGCATTTAAAACGACATATAATTGGGTAACTTTTTATAAAACTCATCTCATCATAAGTATATTTGCCATGTACCCCAGACCATGTAAATTTATGCATAACCTGATGGTTTGCCGTCAGGCCTATTTCAAATAAATTCCTGCTGAACGATATATATTTTGAGATGTATTTCAATAGCATATTTATTATATGGAGAGGATCTGTTGTGCATTTTGCACAACTTATTTTATCCTATACATATTATTATTTCACAATAAAACGGCGTGTACCACTATCGTCATTATTGCTTTTATTATCTCCACTTGTTCTCAAACGTAAGACGGATGAAAAAATCGCCAACTTTCTAACATCACTGTCCTGTAGCATGATTTTTACTTAAATAACTCTACTCGAATATGATCAAAAAATTTGTCACTTGCGTAGTAATGTAACTAACTTCGCGATTATATGTAAAAAAAGTAGTGTTTGCTTTAAAAAGAACGACGAAACATCTTATATATGCCATACATGTCTCCTAATTATGAGATAAACCGATTTCGACTCACTTAATTACAATCTCACAAAAACACCTACCTAAAATCATAATTCCTTGAGTTGTTTCTAACAAGTCGTTGATGAAATTAAGATCTATTCTACTCTACCTAAGATGCTTCCTGTTTGTTATTCAAACATATGTATCTTTGATAGCTCGTCAATTGTAACTATTCAAATGAGTTAACTACATTTAGGAAGTGATTGTCAAAAGCTCAACACACTATTTATTTATTTTATTTAAACACATAAATATTGGTACAAGGAAGCACCAGATACATATGCGCCTCACAAATCTCATTTGATTTGTGTGAGGGCTGTGATAATGCTCAGGTGCCCAGACTGAAGCAGGTGGTTTTCTTAGGGGGCCACACCCGGAGCCTTTGACATGAGGGTCTGATCCACAAGGCAGTGGAGCATCGTGAGAAGATGCAGTACCATGGAGGCCGGTGATCAACGATTGATTCGTACGCCATTTGTTCCCTCAGGATACTGGAGCTCATGTACACCATTGGTTTGGAATCAGGGTTTTCCAACTCCCCTAGGTGAACTTTCCGTGTCCACCAACCCGGTTAAAGCGCCGGACATTCGCTTTTCATCCTCTCAATTTCGTAAACAACAGTAATGCCACGAGAAAGCAGTGAGTAGGACTTCCCTGGGAGAGGCTATATATTCGCTGGCCATGTGAGAACATTTCGAGAGGAAGAGCGGACTCTCCCCACTCTCGGCCGTACCAGGGCATTTGGGGGCATCACCACACTAATAAAACCTGGTTACTGCAAATATATTCATAAAGCTAGGTGGTTTATGCTTGTCTCTAGAAATTTTCCTGGCGGTCACCTTTCTATATTTTGATGGATACGGGTTTCTATTTCATTGACTTTACAGCCAAATAGTGGAATCATGCTGCCAACTACACACAATAACACTTGGAATTTCAGTTAAAATTGTTATTTTCCAGTAGTCTGTTCAGTCATTGGTCGAAGTTTGATTAAGATATACACGTAAGTTGACACAGCGAATAAGAATTAACTTACGGTTTCCTGAACATCAACGCGTTTGATGGGCCTATAAACCTTGAGCAACCAACTGCTGTCATGTAGAACATCGTAGTTAGGCTTTTCAACTACCCAAATATAGCATATATCTAGATTAGGCTTCAGTTTACTGTAAATAGAGGAATAATGGATTTCAATATCAGACAAGCTTTACGTTATGTTGTGTGATAGAGAACTTTCGAACCATTTGTGTTACAATTTTCTTAAGAATTAATTCCACTTATTTGGAATACCAGCAATTCATTGGTCTCATGTTTTATCGTTGCAACTTGGTCTTATTCCCTTTTGTCCGGAATGATATTTTGAAATTCCTGTGACTCAAATAATAGTCTGGGTAGGAAAGAAGGAATTTTGATTCAATAGGTAGTTTGAGTTTAGTATAGTGAATAGCGTCAGAGCCTTTCCTCAGTGTCTTTAATGGTTGTCATTTAATTGTAGGATAACGGAATAGAATCTAACCCCATGAGCGTTCCTCTGAACAATTAATGACACTTATCTGCTCCTACATAATAAGTATGACCCAGAATTTAGTGCTTTTGAAAGTGCGTAGTTATTTTCTGCAGTTTTGTGGTGATAATTATTTAGTAGTCCTAATAGACAGTCGTATAGTATTGATAAACCTACTATGTAGAATATTTGTGATAACGAGATTTGCACCATTTGGTTATTGAACGTAACTGTACTAAATTTCCAGGTGCTATAATGTTTCCTATCATGATTGGTCAATATAATCTTTCGTTTTTGCATTTTCCGAGTAACACTATCGTATTCATTTGCCTGTCAAGTCAATTGACGTCTGTAGTTTGGATTTGCTCTAAAACTCCGTTATTAACAAACCGCATTATGCTTCAGCTAACTTTTAGTTGCACATAATCAATACAGAGTACTACTAATGAGAATAGTGTTTTAAATGGAGCATTTGATTCACTATATTTCTTTGGAGTTTTCTAAAACAATTGCCTCAGACTACTACCAAATTGATTACCTGGTGTTTAGTCTTATTAATATATCCAAACAGTCATTTATGCCATCCTTACTTATTACCTACTTCTAGAAATTGACACAAGTGCTCTCATTGATTTTCTTAGCGGATGATTGTACTAAGTAAAAAGATCACCGTCTTCGCAGCTATCCATCAGCTTGTAGTGCCGTGCTTCATTAATCGTTCACCCTGATAACCGTTATAATACCAATCTTAACGGTGTATAAAATCAGAAGGCAAAAGGAAGCAGCAACTACATTTTTATTGATAAATGATGCAGACCAGAAAGTTGTAAGCACATGAGCGAATGTAAGCAAGCGAAGTAAAAATGACATGCATGGGAGATGGCTGGGAAGCCAACTCGAGAGCGAAGCGAAAGATAATGCGTATTGGAGATGGCTGGGAAGCCAACTCGATTTAAGCAAGCGTTAATCAACATTTATAGTCGGACAAAAATAAGTGACAGACATATGATGAATAAGATACGAAATGTGCATACACATGCGCTCATATAAAAGTATAGTCAAGGTTAATAAGCGAATAATTAACAAGATCAAAATATGACTCATAATGGATAGGCGAATTGGCCAGCAACTAGAATAAAGTATATGGGCTTAACATATAAACTGATACTACAAGCTTATAAATGATTACCCTAATCTAGGCTGGTGACATGTTGTGGAGGTTAAACATATTATCTACTGTATGGCTCATGGTGCAGTATTTAACATTGAGTCTCACTCACCTCCAGAAGAATTTACTCATTCACCAGGTGTTTGGTCATGTGCCGAACTCTAAATGTTAATAATACTGCCCGGTTGCCCAAATCAAAATAGGTGAGGTGGGGTTCGGAACTTGAACCCATGGACTGGAAGTCGGACGGCTTAACTAATAAGCCACCATCCTGTTTGCCGTTGGACAAATTCGTTATACAAATAAATGATGGCGAAAGTCTAGATATTTACTTTAAAAGTGCTACAAAGTATGTGTTCTTTTTTTGATCAGTTTTATCATCCTTTTATACCCCGAAAGCTTCCCTATAAGTAATTTTGTAATGCGCCTTGTTGGTTATCTTATACAATTTATCACCAGTCGGTCAACTAAAGTTCGAGTAAATCAGAATAAGGGTATAAGAGAACAACAATGCAGTTGTGGTCCATATAGAAAAATGTTAATTTTCAGGTTCGGGTCTTTGGAATAATCTTAAGTTAGAACTGTACATGGCTAAAAGTCGGTTTGTAGTGAGATAGATGAGTTTTTTTCCACTTTTTAAATCCGAAGTTCCATTTTTATTTTGGTATCTATTATTGTTCAATTCCATTCCTTTTCGAATCATCCGTTCAAATGGTGACGAATATTCATACAAAATAAATCCTGTGATTGCTGCTTTTATTTCAACTTTCCTAATTTCCTTTCATTGTGTGGTCGTCAAGCCTTATAACCTGGACGTTTGTGCTTAGTCCTAAATTGTCTGTGACTGATTAGACAGTAATATTTTCGATCAGCTTCTCATTAATATATTGAGGAACCCTATCTAACCGCACTTCTGGAATAGAGCAACAAAAGGAGATAGCTGGATTCCCTCTCTCCCTGAGATGCCTGTATACAGAGCCTTCAAAATGTTAGTAAACTTTTCAGTCAGACCTTTCAACAGACAACCCCAGAAAACAGTCCAATCTGACTAATGGAAGGCGGTCTGATATCAAGGAACAACGATTGGTCTGTAATAAATATAGCAATATTCTGGCAGCTGACGAAGGGTAAAGTTGTGGTCAGTGCATTTATGACTAGAATGAAAGCCATCCTACTTCTTGCGAGTCAATGTTTCAAAGGTCCTGACCAATCTGCGAAGTACGACGGAAGCCAATGGTTTTGACGCAGTGAAAGGTAAACTTGTCCCCGATAGTTGTTGCATAGATGACGTAGGCCCCTGACAAAGATGATAGCCTCATTCCCAGATGATGGGATACTCTGTTTCACAAACCTTTCTAAACAACCCAGTCAGTTCCCTTGTGGTGTTGTCTACTTATATCTATATAAATAGTATATGGTGTGGGTCAGACATGGAATGTATTTTGGCAGAAGACCGATGAGGAAAGAACTGAAATGAAGCGCAATCGTTTGGGAAATGCATGAGCAATGGAATAGGAGAAGAAACAGTGAAGACTGAAACAATTGGTTGTTAATTTGCAAATTGACTGTTCATTGTTTGGTTATCAGAATTTACTGAGATAGTCTGTAATGTTTGCTTAAATACATTCGATTCTCCCCAACCAGTCGTGTTCTGTTCACTACACCCTAACCAAAAGGTCTCCTTCATTCGTAAGAAGAACTCAGGTAAGTAATCCGGGTCTGGTGACTTGTCGCACTTCAGGAGCAGGTTTGATCTGTGGTTGTAACGCAAGCTTCAGCCAATCCACATATATTGATCCGTTTAAGACGAGGTGTTCATTGACCACTAAGACGTGAGATAAGCTTGGCACAGATCCAACTGTGACTAAAGCGCAGATAAATATTCTACAGGGAGCAGTAGTCTTGTACATAACCATGTCAGTAGTGGGTGTTCAGTCTTGATTTGCAGATAGAGGGCGTCGGGTTGCACGTCGATGATGACTGTGTTAGAAGTTGATGCTGGCCAGAAACAGGTTATAGTCTGCTCAAATTCGCAGTAAGTCGCACTATTATCTGACCTGAGACAAATAAGTCCC